ATGTGGTTGTTGCTCAGTAAGGGGAGCTTTCAGCAGCCTGGGTGTGAGTTACACTGCAGTCAGCATTCTGGCCTCACATGGTACTGACTTTATATGGAGGGAGTTATATTCTTGGGAGAGCATATCAATTCCATGACGACTCTTTGAACGTCTCCCCCCGCCCCTTGTCACGTCTTTGGTGGCAGCTGGCTTTGTGCGGAAATCAGATGAAGCTATTAATCTTTTAGCAGATCATCTTCCAGTGAGGCAATAGACTCCTTGCCATAACGTCCATAGAAATAGTGAGCACTGATTATTATTCAGTCTGCTCATTTTCAGCTTAAATTTGCAGATTTTAATAAGATTGATAGGTTAAGATTAACAAGGAAAACTGGTATTTTGTAAATGCCTGTTCGTTTGAGAGATCCAAATAAAACACAACTAAAAATGCAAAAAAATAACTATACATTTTATTGTATTTTTTTAAAAGGTTATAAAAAAATTAGACTAATCTGACCCATGGCAAACAACTTTATCTTTATATGTACAGATTTAGAGAAAACTGAAAGTGAAACCTGACATCAAATCAGTAAAAAAGCCATTATCAAAGTTAATGGGTTTTGATGTTGTTGGGGCAGAAATGTCCTTACAAATGAGCAAACTTAATATTCAAATTATACATTCAAATTGCCTCATAAAAGGTCATTTTTCAAAAAGGCCTAACTATAAGCCATTCATATGTTGATCCCCAACAGGGTTATTATAGTTCACTAAAACTAAAACCATTAAAAAGGTACTTTAAATAAAATTGATTAACGAAAATAATTTGTTAAATGAAATACGATAAAATATATTAAAAAGGTAGGTTCCAAGGAAATATTACACACTTTCATGTACTTTAACCTGATGAAATAATAAACTGAAAATAATACATTTATAATGAAAATATTACATATGAAAATAAAAAATGAATAAAACTATAGACATTTACAGGACAGGAAACCTGTTGGAAACTAATGTGCACAGAAATGACACACTTCATCTTTGCCTAAAATAATCTCTCCACAATTCCAGATTACAGGGAGGCCTTCGGACTTTTCGACAGAGTTGGTGACAGCAAAGTAGCCTACAACCAGATTGCAGATATCATGCGTGCACTGGGACAGAACCCAACCAACAAAGAGGTTTCGAAGATCCTGGGCAACCCTACCGCTGATGGTAAGTGGATTTGTTTTCCCTTTTTTTTTTTTTTTACTTTTAATTAGCTACTCCAAAAGTACCTCTAGTCAGCATTAGCACTGTCAGGAGCTTTTACCATGACATATTTCAGATTCCTGTTTCTTTAACTGTAATTGGTAGAAGGCTGGTGTGGTGACAGGTGCTTGGAGTGCATGGTTTCACTACATCTGCCCTCTGTGACCCCTCTCCTCACTTTTGACCCCGTTTACAGACATGACAAACAAGAGAGTCGACTTTGAGGGTTTCCTGCCCATGTTGCAGTTTGTGGTCAACAGCCCAAACAAGGCAACATACGATGACTACGTTGAGGGTCTGCGTGTATTCGATAAGGAGGGCAACGGAACAGTAATGGGTGCTGAGCTGCGTATCGTCTTGTCAACACTGGGTAAGTGGCCAAAATGAACAGGCTGATTGCATTACCACTGCAGTTCCATATCAGTATCTTTGTTGGAAGTGCATTAATTGGAAACAACGTGTGACCCGCACCATCCATCCATCCATCTTTCTTTTTTTTCTTTTTTTACCAAGAAACACTGAATGAATTGAATGTGAAAGTCTCTGCTTTGTAATTATATTTATATCTCAGTTGTTCTCAACCTTTTTGACCCTGATATTTAAATTAATGTATATAAGTTTGTTCAGTGATGTTAAGAATTTTTGAGGTGAATAAACCAGTTAATTTAGATGTTACCATTTTTCAGTGTAGTTGAGAACCTTTAATATCATAAAACATTTTGGCAAAATCACCTCTATAGATTTCAAACAATTTTCAGACTTTTTGACAGAATTAGGAGATTTATTCACAATGTATCTTTCAACATACCTTATTTTTTCATGCTAGAAATTATTTTATTACACAATTTGAAAGTAAAGACTTTGTCTATTCAAAATATCTCAGTAAAAAAAAAAAAAACTGTGAAAATTTTTTTTTTTTTTTTTTCACACAAGCAGCTCATTGATACTTAAGAATAAATCATAGATCCGGTCAAACAACCAATATCAGAGTTTAAATACAGAGTTCTGGCATGAAACTCTAGATGGCGCAGTCCGATAGGCCTAGCTCAATCTGACCTGGCGACATCATTGTCACATGGCAGCTGATTGGTTCTCTGATGTATCGGTAGCCAATAAGCTCGCTGCTCAATTTTCAAATACCTGGTTTTTGTTTGAATATTGTTTGAAAATTGGCAGCGCACTTCAGAAACCCTCCACCTTCCCCAGCTCCACCTGTATAGATCTGCTACGAGGTGATTCATGTATGCTATATGGGGGTTATTCATATGTGTTATATGTGCAGCAGCCATATTTCTTACATGCTCACAGAAGCATGCTGTGGATGTATTGGCAGTAGCAAGTCTCGGTACTCGGACCAATCCCTTCGAGAGTTGTCATGACAGAAATGCATTTATAATGACATGCATCAGTATTTCAGTCTGTTTAATGACTTGACTAACCTATTTTCCTGTCTTTTTCTACAGGTGAGAAAATGAATGAAGTTGAGATCGATGCTCTCATGCAAGGCCAGGAGGATGAAAATGGCTGTGTGAACTACGAGGGTCAGTTAAAATCCTTTCTTTATCTCACTGAACGTTTATTAACCACAGTGAAATTTTTAACGATTGACCGATTTATAGACATAATGTTTGTTTGTTGTACTGTGATTCTAATCCTATTTGATCTCTCCATTCTGAACAGCTTTCGTCAAACACATCATGTCTGTGTAAGAAGTCGGAGTTGTGAGGAAACTGAAGCGTTTCTCCAGATTCCATGATGTCAGGACATCCACACAATGTTTCCAAACTAACTCAGAAATGGATGAAAGGGACATGGGATGTTAGTCATAAACAATTATTTTGTTATTTGTTTCCTATTTTTTTCCACGACTCCTATTTCTTTTGTCCATTATTGGAAGCCATTCATATTTTTTCCAGCTAATTTTCTTGGTGTTGTTCGTGCCGGGACAAGCCTCTCCGTAGCGGAATGGTTGTGAGGGGAGGGGGTGTAGGGGGGCATCATAGTTACACAAAAATACAAACCACCCCTTGACCCCTCACTGCCTGGATCGCAAAGTCAAAGGTGCTAAATATACTGTCATTAATGGACTGGCTGCAAAACCTCCTTCCCCTTTCCCCAGAGTCTTAATTTATTTTTTGCCTCTGTCAATTCTCATAATAAACTTTTCACAAAGTATCAGCCTTGTTGTGATTAATGTTCTCATATTCAGCACACAAGGCAGAAAGGGAATGGACAGGTAAGTGGAACAGGTAGGCAAACACGATCGATCACTTAAATAGCATAGCAGAAGTAGACTTTAACTTAAGGGTACTGGGGATTTAAAGGCAACGTGAAACCATATTCACTATCCATTTTAGAGGATATTCAACGAGAAAAAAAGGATAGGATGGGACTTGGTGGATTTTATTGATCAGGAAAAATAGGAAAGGAAAGATGTTTACAATAAGACCATAAATGTGTATCAAGAAAGTAAATGGGGTTAATTGGTCAGAAATTGAAAGTACAAACATATCACATTTTGGCCCTGTGACCTGCATTTACAATCCAATATAAGCCAACCATCAACCGTTTATAAATCTGTTGTTAACAAAAGAGAAGCTTGAAGGTTTCCCTGAATAGAAGCTCAATGGTTTAAGGTTGATAAAAGCAAAGCCATACATATTATTCATGCAATTTTACTGTTGTTATGAAAACTTTTTTATTAAACATTTATTTTTTTTGTTTGTTTGACAGTACAATAGTGTTATAACTATAGTAACATATTTCCTTTTTGATTTGTAATTGAATTTAAAACATAATACTTAAATGTTTAATATGACTTTATTATTGTTATATTTTATTATTGCTTTATTATTATTATTATTATTATTATTATTATTATATTATTGCTGTCATATTGAATGGTTTCCATAAAAAAAAAAGGTGAATGTGACCTGAGACAACTGAAGTGGATGCTACAGTCGACTGTAATTTTACCAGACATACTAAGAAAAAGTCAAAATCTTTCAACTATCTGTAAACACTAATTTCAAAACATGAGGCCTGCAACAAATTATTGATAATGAAAAGTTTATAAATGACAATTACGTTTAAAGTGAGTTGCCACAGTTAAGGATCAGTTTTTTTGTCCTAAACCGTTTAATTCACGCATAGATTTTCACTTACCTTTTTTTTTTTTTTTAAATCAATGTAATGTACTGTAACATGGCCTGTAAGGAGCCAGTAATACCACAACCATAAATCATTACACAAGCACAAAATCTGAAGAAAAAAAACAACAGATCACACTAATGTTTTGTTGATTTTCTGTATTTTTATTGTCATAACTGTTAAGGGCATTTATAATCCGTATCATACCAACAGGAGAAAAACTGCGTACATCTATGTGACCTTTTAAATACATTTACAGCAGCTGAGGGAATCAGGGAAAGGCCGAGAAAACACAGAAGCCTACGAATGACAACTGTTCTAGAGGAAAAGGGGCCGGGTAGAACCACAAATGACGAGAAAAAATATACTGGAGTACTGTGTTCAAACAGATGCAAGCGGAGTGAGTAACCTTCTTAATGTTTTGATTTCTGTGTTTCTTTTTCCACTTCCTAAGAAAGAAAATCAAGCATCCAAGCAGGAATCAGCAAACAAACACAGGGCCTAACACACCGACAAAGTCCCAAGGAGCTGCTCCCTACATTTAAAGGGGTCATATGATGCTGCTAAAAAGAACATTATTTGGTGTAATGAAATGTGTTTATGCGGTTTAAAATGAAGGCCGCAGCACCACCAATCTTGCTCGGACAGATCCGTTCCCATCTCGACTCTGAAAAATGGTGGTACAGTTCACACCTCAAGACTTTGAGCAAATTTGAGCAGATCTTACATGATTCATGTATACCTGGAGCCCTTGAATGTCTTTGCGTAACCGTAACATCATGGTTTTGTGTAAATTGAAGCACGAATCTGCTTAAACTGTGTACCGACAAAGATCCACGGAAGCAACGATTTCTTAACGACAGCGAAGGCAGAGGTGCGGTCATCCAAGCTAAACATCGTCGCTAGTATCTACAAAACATGATGTGTTCATTTTATTCAATGTTTCAGCAAATAACTTACTAAAACCCCTTGAAATAGAAAATAGCCTCTTTTGTGTACTAGAATACATGCTCGTCATACTATCTAGGTTTTTTTTTTTTCAAATGCAATTGTACAGGTATAAGTTATCGAAGGAGTAATCGTTTCTTTTTTCGGTTGAGCATTAGATGTTGAGACGAAGAGCTGGCATATTTATAAATATATTCCCTTATAATGTATATCGTGTTTGATCGTACGTGACTCGCAGTTGAGATGTTGAAGAGTCCATGCACTGAATGGGCAAAATAACACGTGCAGCATGAGATCGTCGCGCCACATTCCTGTATATCAAAAATTCAGATCGACCGACTTTTACGCAACACACCTGACGCTGACCCTAAACCAGCTTTTGAGGCCACTGTCTGTACACAACCATAAAAAGTCACATGTATCATGGGTAATAAAAAGCACTGGTACCTCTCTAGCTAAGGCGTTATTCATTAAAATGAAATCAAATAAAATAAAACAGATACAATTTTTTCCATTTCCGACAGTCACGGCAGGGTTTCTGCGAGATTGTTGGTTGATGAAGAGGAAAGTGTGAATATGAGAAGTGAATCTGTAATGTTCCATAAATACCAGAGGGAGGACAGGTGAACTGCGACACCACTGAAGGGGACTACTGTAGACTGAGCGGAGGGAGACGTTTTGGGGGATTCACAAGCCTTGTTTGGCCAGGGCGGCAGTCACATCATCGGCCAGCGTGGCCAGCTGTGGCGACTCCAGCATGTTGATGCTTCCGGACGAAGACATGTGGCTGTGCCGGTGAGGGGAGGTGCCGCCTGACAGCCGGAGTGTCTCGATCACAATCTCCGCCCCGTGATCCACGCGTGCTTTAGCCACGTCACGGAACATCGTCTTATGGCTTTCGATCTTAGCAAGCAGGAAACAGGAAGTCGGTAACGGTCACTTAACATGACTTCATGTATGATGTGGGATGGGTAAGAACTCACCTGTACATGTCCTCCTCCAGGCGTATGGTGGGCGTTCTCCAGGGAGCCCACCTTTGCATGGGCTTTGTCTCTGAAGCCAAGCTTCACACTTTCAATGCGCACATTACCACCGCCTGAGACGCAGACAGAGTCATAAAAGAGTTATTTAATCAATTTCTCACTTCTCTCCTGGACAAACAACTTGACTTTTTTATGAAGGTAAAGATCTACACTACAGTTTTAAAAGTTTTAAATGTTTTTTAATCTTTTTGAAAAAAAAGTCTTTAATGTTCACCAAGGCTGCATTTTTTTTTTTTGTATAAAACATACAGTTAAAACAGAAAAAGATTGTGAAATATTATTACAATTTAACTGTTTTCTATCTTAATATATTTTAAAATGTAATCTGTTCCTGTGATGGCAAAGCTGAATTATTAGCAGCTATTAATCCAGTCTTCAGTGTCACATGATCCTTTAGAAATCATTCTAATATTATGATTTGATGCTCAAGAAACATTTCTTATTATTATCAATGTTACAAACTTTGATAACTTTAAGATCTGATGCTTAATATTTTTTTGTGGAAAACATGATACATTTTTTCAGAGTTCTTTGAATAGAACGTTCCAAATAACATCTATTTCAAATATAAATCAATTGTTTATCCTTTTTATAAATGTAAAAGGCATCAATATAATGCTTTTAATCAATTAATTGCATCCTTCATTTCTTTACTGACTCCAACATTTTGAACAGCAGTGTATATTTTCCAAAATCCATATAAAACATGAAAGTATATAAAATCTGTAGCCTACAGTATGTTCTTTGAAATACAATAGCAAAAATTATTTGAAATGTAAATCATGATGCTTTTTTTAATTACTGGAAAGAGCCTGCAAGATTCTTATAGCAGAAAATCTCACCTTTTATAAATTTGCATTAAAAAAATCGTTTGAAATGGCTAAATCATTCGAAATGGGTTTGGCGGTGACATTAAAAACTTAACCACAAGATGGCACTGTTGTATCATCCAATAACCTAGCTCGGGTTTTCCGTGCTTTAAAAGCAACCTGCATGACACTGCACATTTCCAATCTGCTGTTAAAATTTATATAACTCCTTAGCATGCTCACCTGGCCTGTGGCGGATGTTATCCAGTGATCCACACTTGGAGGTCACATGACTAAGATCAATCTTCTTAGTCTGAATTTGAACCTGTGAGAAACAACATAAGTTGAGAACAAAATATAAAACAGTCTGGATATTAAATGCAAGGAGTTGCCCAGTTCTTCTTCACATATGATGCTGCAATGTAAAAAAAAACAGCTTTGCCTAAAAAGTACTGAGCAATAATTGATGAGTTAAACAGTTAAAAGTCACCCGAGAACTACTCCACAGCTAAACACATAAAAATGGTTAGCTGAGCTGCAAATCAAGCAGAACTAATCCATATGCTGAAGATGCCACAACATTAAGAAAACCAACAACTTCAAAATGAATAGCACAAATACAGCATCAGATCACTGAATCAAATGACAGACATTCGGCAGATTAGAAATTCATGGCAAAGAATCAGTGGGTAGATTCCGTTGTATTTGGACAAAAACAAAGTCAAATTTCAGTTATTTCAGATTATTAAATAATTGTTCTTACTCAGGACCTTGATAAATATAGATAGGAGTCTTTCATTTCTGTTGCATAAAAGTGATCTATGCCACTTAAAGGGGTGGTTGATTGCGATTTCACTTTTTTAATGTTAGTTAGTGTGTAAAGTTGCTGTTTGACCATAAACAATATCTGCAAAGTTACCAAGCTGAAAGTTCAATGCAAATGGAGATATCGTCTTTTAAAATTCTGGCGGTTTAATGTCTACAAAAGCGTCTGGTAGGGACTACAAAGAGTTACTTCCCGGGTTCGTGACATCACAAACCCAGATAAACCCTGCCCTCGGGAATAGGCAGCAAAGGGGGCGAGGCCATGCGCTGCTTTAGAGAAGAGGAAGAGAAAACTAGGGGTGCACATAAAAATCTATTCATATATGAATCGCGATTCTGTCTTCTAACGATTCTAATGGATTCACAAGTTTCAAAATCAATGTTCTCAAGCAGCGGTTCTTAATACTGTTCCTCGCGTCCCCCTGCTCTGCATCTCTCTCTCTCTCTCTCTCTCTCATTCAGCTCAGCTCCAACAATGAACTGTTCCAATTATACACTTATTTTCACATAGCTATGAGAAGCGTTAAACATGGACGCGCGTGCAGTTGCCGTACTGTATTAAAGCTTTAATCAGGATAAAACCGTATATTAAAAGCTAACATAAGCAGTAGCATTTACAAATAACAGCGTATCTAAAAGTATGAGA